ATCCTCCCTTCGCATTCACTTCCTTTTGAAGGCAGAAGTACTCGGGAATAGCCTGTATGGAAACATATAAATAAAAAATCAAAAAATTAAATTTGCGGTAAGTTTGAGCAGTAAAAACACGAAAAATGAGTTACCTGCAAGTGCAACGCTCGTTGAATATTGCTCAAGTTGTAATTTTGGATTCTTGAATGTTTCAATCTCGGATAAAAACCATTCCAAATGTTTCTTCTTCATGCTCTTCTACGGAAATCTTCCAGATCAACGACGGAACAACAAGAGATTTCCAACATGCCCAAAACCGTTGAGCGATTTTAGATATGAAATGCCACGAAGGACGGCAAAGCCATGAATACTGAGAAACCTGCGAAGCTTGAGCTGAAAAAAATTTAAAAAAATGTCACGCTCACGGATCTACTTCTTTAGAGAAATAGATATTATTGTGGATCTGTAATATCCTATGACAGCATACGATCATATGCTCCTAACTAGTAAGAAAGAGGGGATGATGTTCGTGGTCTAAAAATGACAGGTTTTAGTCACACTGTATGTACAAATTTGCTTATTTGGAAGATCTAAATGGCATTACTTCCAGTGTTTTCATTATCAAAATTCGATTGTGTTCCTCCTCTCCACGCTGCTGGGCCAGCAGTGCCAAACGAATTGTATGTGTTAACACATAGACGATTTTAGGCTCCCGTCCTCTTCCAGTCTCCCCTGCCAGGGATATTCACTGTTTTTATCTGTAAAAATTTCTACAACACTTAGGAAGAGGTATTGTTGTTCAACATATGGGCCGAAACATTTCTTACCTATCACAAATATTTCCTTAGTCCCCTTTCCCCATCTTAAAGCGCTTTTTCTTCGTTTTTTTCCCTTCTATTTTCTCTTCAACCTTTAATAAAGAATGCTACCGTGTCAAGTGATTCTGTTTGGAAAACTGCTGAACGGATCATCCCTTCCAAGATGCCCTTCAGTAAACTGACCAGTGTTCACTGGTCAAAGCAATTGGAAAAATTGTTAACTGCACAGATTGGAAACCAAACTGATTGCCTCCAGATATTTCAGGCGGATATATGCAAGAAAGCACATTAGCTGTTCCGCACACACATTACATTATCCAAGCACAGGTGGATTCAGGAGGGACTTTTGGGCGAACCAAATCGCAATCTTTGACGTGGTCGTATGCCAAGCATGTGCAGCTTTGTACCTTGCCTGGTTCGCAAAATCGTTTCCCACCAAAGAAATTTGCATATTTTTTTCAAGGGTCCGTACGCGGGATCCAGGCGCGTATGGGGAACATCTTGAAACGGGAGGATGACACACGGGTAGGGACATTACCTACAGTTTCAGCCTTCCAGCTTTCTTGGTTCCTGAGGGAAGTGGGTGATAAAATGCACTCGTTTCTGATCACACAAACAGCCTCTCGGTAATACGCGTTTTTGCTGGCTGTAACAGCGCTATAGCACAAAACAAAACGCATAACTAGGAATAGATTTGTTAAAGTGCTACTTAGAGTTACTTTAGGCTTTAGTTTAGTTTTAGCTCTAGACCTGGGCTTTTGCAACACTAGTGCCAGTGCCGCCGACTGGGGGGATCCGCCTATGTATCCAAGACATCTGTAGATATACTTTGATTTGTTATCCACTGTGCGGTAAATGCAACTGGAAATAGTAACCAGTGCAAAAGACAGAAAAAAAAAGAAAGCAGTGCATTTTGTATATATTTATTACAAAAACAAAAAAAAGACTTCTGATAAGCTGTTCGTTGGAAAACTGCAGATGAATTGAACTCAAAAAAAAAGGCGCAGAACGATGGGGAAAATGAGGAGAGAGAAAAAAAAAAGTGAATATTGTGAATGAAACAACACAACGATACTACTACTGGATACTGACTGAGAAAT